TGTTTACTATTCGGGACCTACGAGAGCTTGAGGCTTAGCAGTGGTTTTACATGAAACTCATTTCCACTAAACTCCTACGACGCCTTGTAAACTTATTTAACTGGATATTAAGCAAACCTATTGCTTCGCTATTGGTAGATTGTTACAGTGTTTCTTCTGTTTTACAATGATGTGCACTGGAGTGTGTGTAAGGGGACCAATTTTAAAAAGATTAGACAGAAGGTAGGTAGCAAATGTTACAAGTTTTCGGTTCAACTCCTGTTCGCAAGTTGGAAAAGTAATGTCTTATGTAAACCGATAGGATTTGTGTTTTATAGACCAGTGGCAACTTGTACACTTATTCTTTTAAACTTCTTACACATACTCCTATTTTACGTATTTGTACTGTAAGGTAATATTATAGTGTAATGAGACGAGTACGGTAACTCCATACAAAAGTAGCAGCGTGGCTTGCATGTGTGCGCGTCCGCCGCGTGTCATGTACGGACGCACACATTCGCATAATCTCTCGAAACATTGCATAGTGCTGCTGGTCATGTCTCACGCCTTTCATTATCTTGCGAATGTATGCGTTCGTACACGACATGCGGCGGGCGCGCACGAATGCAAGCAACGTTTGTATGGAGTTACCATTGTCTCATTGTACTATGGTAATATATTGGCTTACTCGTGGAACTGTGTTAAGACAGTTTAATCTTAATTTTTTTTTTAGCAGAAGTACCATCATACAGCGTTATCAAAGCAGAACATACAATTACATTATTCTTTTACTATTTGTTAAGAGTCGAAACTATCTCAGCTTGAATTAAAATTTTTCCACTACTCATACGGTTCATTTAGTTTGAGTCGCCCGACAGGGACACTCGCTTTATTTCAAAATTTATTTTGTACCAAACGAAATTAAAGAAATTTGAAAAATGTGTATTGTATACTATACGTGTTCTATTTATATATAAGTGTTCAGTTGATGAACAACAAAAATCATTAGTTTATGTAAAGTACCTATTGAATGTAGCGGTTTTCTTGTAAAATTTCGATATAAGTTTATGTTTGTTTTCTATCGTGAAAACATTTTTAGGAATCGTGTTTTCAAACCATATATGAGTAATCAGTGTATATTCTTCGTTTTACTATACATATATTTTTTCCAAAGTGATTCAAAGTCAAAGTCAAAGTCAAAGTCAAAGATTATTTATTCCATAGGTAAAATAAATTTACACTTGAAAACGTCACATTTAAGCTACTGCTCGTTCACTACGCTGACCTCCCTGAGAAGAACGAGCAAGAAACTCTAGGGATTGCTCTTTTCAAATAAACTTAAATGCTATGGAATACACTTTGAATCAAATTTGTGTGGATTCTGGAGCCATGTCGTCTTTCCATACATCTTTATCTAACACGTAGTCTTCAATTTTGTAATATGATTTTTCGATCAAAATATTTTGAATGTAGTTTTTAAACTTAGGAAATGATAAACTTAATACATGCTCCGGAATCTTATTGTAAAAACGTATACAGTTCCCCATAAAAGAGTTGTTTACCTTGGTTAAACGAAATCGTGGTACCATGAGTTTGGACTTAGCTCTAAGGTTAATATTAGGGGTTAAAGTATGAAATTGCCGTTTTATTGCAATAGGTTC